AGATAGATAGATAGATAGATAGATAGATAGATAGATAGATAGATAGATAGATAGATAGATAGATAGATAGATAGATAGATAGATAGATAGATAGATAGATAGATAGAGACAGAGAGAGATAAGAAAGAAAGAAAAGAGAGAAAGAAAGAAAGAAAGAGAACAGAAAGAAAGAAAGAAAGAAAGAAGAAAGAAAGAAAGAAAGAAAGAAAGAAAAAAAGAAAGAAAGAAAGAAAGAAGAAAGAAAAGAAAGAAGAAAGAAAGAAAGAAAGAAAGAAGAAAGAAAGAAAAAAAAAAGAAAGAAAGAAAGAAGAAAGAAAGAAAAAAAAGAAAGAAAGAAAGAAAGAAAGAAAGAAAGAAAGAAAGAAAGAAAGAAAGAAAGAAAGAAAGAAAGAAAGAAAGAAAGAAAGAAAGAAAGAAAGAAAGAAAGAAAGGAAAGCAACACAACACCAGGACTAAAACTCAGATCTCTTGGGAACGTCGCTTCTGTGGTTCCCAGGGAATACTTGGTCATGCCAGCTGGGATCTGCACTCATGCAATAGCTCACATGATTTTAAAAAAAAAAACGCTGCACCTTTTAAATTCAAACAAAAGCGATAGCATGGCAAACCCTGGCCAGGCAATTTGTTGTCTAGAGTTAAAAGTGAAACAAGCTCCCTGTGGATTGAATTGCTGCTGACGGTAACACGAGGGGAAGCTGTATAGCATCTAAATGAGTGTTTCTCAATGGGGTGTTCAGAGGACGGCAGGGGACGCTGGCAGAAATTTGTACAAAAGGAGGCCTCTGCGATTCCTTTGGGGGCGTTTGCTCGAAGGCAAACTTTACACCTTAAATGCACAACAATACCAGGTTAGACTTTGTGCAACTGACTAAAACAGTGTTGTTCAACATCAAAACATGCTTGGCTGCAGCTGCATTGATGGCAGCTCTTCTTCTCTCCAGTGTTGTTGTTAGCTTCTCCTGCTACTGGTAGCTTTACCGCGTCAGTTCAGTGTCACACCGGCTGATGACGTTGCTTGTCTGGTGTCTGATTTTCAAATGTTTTATGTTCATTGAGACTTTTTAGTGCATATGTTTGGCAGTGATCACGTCAAAGAAGCAACTTATATTAAAACATGTTTTATTGTCCATCTGGATGCAACGAAATATCGCTAATATGTAACTAAAATCCCAATACACTCACAGTATCATGATACAGAAAAATTAACCAGTTTAAATAAAGATGGGTGATACCAAGATAGAGTGCATTTATTTTAAAGAGTTAACATCGGTGCTGAAAGTGATCCGGTATGAAACGCCATTACCACAGCACTTTTGAATTTTAATCATCAGAATACCAGGATTTTTTTTCCCATCATTTTAAAAAGCTTACGGCACCTCTTTCCACTCTAACTGGCTGCTTTTCTCCATCGATACTTCTTCCCGATACGCTCCGCACCGTCGGGGGTAAAAACAAACAAACAAAAAAGAAAGGAAGAAACGACGTGCAAAACTCTGAAACATCAGAACCAGGATGCAGAATGGAGCAACGAACGAGATGTGAATCAGGGCATAAAAACAAAGAATCCGGCACTGAAGAGTGAAGAATCAACATGAATGGAAAATCAACACATGAGCTGAAAAACATGATTGATGACGTGACACAACAGGTGAATAGCATAACGAGTGAAGTTTGCTGGTGGTGAACCATAAAAACTAGTAACAGGAAAGAAACTAAAGAGGGCAAACCAATAAACCAACAGGATGAAATTAATCAAAGAAAACTAAATGGAAATGAACAAAATGAAAGAACTAAGAAACTAAAGTAAATACAGAGGAATAAACTGGTATGGCAAGACCTTTCAAGTAATAATTAATACAGAGAGGACGGTATGGCAAGTTTGTTAGGAACTACCTAGTACTAAGAAGAAGAAATAGATTTTACAGCTGGTAACAGTAAAATATATTTTACTTATTTATGTTTATTTTACATATTTATTTCTTCAGTGTAATTTCTCATAACAGTGTTATGAGGCTGTTCAGTGACTCCATGACACTTTCAATTTGACTCATTAGGATTGAATTAAGAACCCTTTCCATAAGAACTTTGTCAATTATTAATCTATAAACCAATAGTCGGGTCTATATAAAGATATAATCCATATTTCTAGCCCATATTTGTGTGACATTAGAAAGATCTGGAACCTTTTGTTTTTCCACTGAAAGCTCTGGTTTGCATAATAAATGTCATGTGGGTGAAATTTTATGGACGATACTCCGATGTCCCGTTCGCCATGTTTTAATGTTGCAGAGCTCAGTCTTTTGCGATTAGTTTAAAGTTTAACTAATCGTTGCACATCTTTTATCTGGTCATTTTGCAAAAGATTTTACAGCTAAACTAAACTAACTGAACTAGAATATCTCTTTCCACTCTGACTGGCTGCTTTTAGGGCTACTGATTTTAAGTTGAATGTTCATTCATTGCCTTTTTCACAGATGCCTGTAAAAATGATTTCTGTTCACGTTGCTTTTTTGTTCTCCGCGAGATTATTTTTGATGCTAAATACAAAAATACAACCATAATAATCAAAACAACAGCAATAGTGATAGTGATATTTATAATAGAATAATAGTCAGTGCAAAGAAGCCTGCAAATGTTTTGACGGGGGACCTGGATAATGGACTAAAACAACGTTGAGAGACACTGGCCTAAATAAAGACCTTTAGCTTTAGCACTAAACCCCAGGGGGCTCCTGTTCACACTAATGCAGTTCCTGTGATAGTATCGCTCAATCAGAGATACTCAGCGGGGCTCTGAGATGTGTGTTCATATATGCCTGACACAGGAAGTATTACTGTAATTAATATCAGCCTGTTTAGCAGGGATGTAGCGATGAACTTAGTGAGCAAATGCGACCCAACAAGAATCAGATGCAGATGCAAGAATCACACACCTATTTTAAAATTTAAAAAGATGACAAATTCATTAGGTTATTTTAGCATTTGTATACTGATTAAGCTGGACTTTTGGAACGAGTCATAAACGTAAAGTTTAAATGACATCAAAACGTCAATATTTGTCTCATTCCAAAGTGGGACGGTGCGTTCAATGTGTCAGAAACGTTTTCTGGTCAGTTCCCCTAATGGAAGAAACAAAAACACAACAGCCTTGTCCTGCAGCCTACGCTTGTTGTCTTGTGCTAAGAGCCCACTTGTTAGCTGTGAACAGAGCCCAAGTGCACATGACTGGAGATTTTAAAAAATATGTATCTATAAAAAGAAATCACACCGACTTTTCTTTCAGAGAGCACAGATGGATGCTAAAGGTTCACAACTTCATTTCGTCATTCGCAGACTCTTCACCTCTCCAACTTCGGCGTATTTTTAGATTTTTATTTTTTTGGATGTTTCCCAAAACAAAGATATGTTCATGTTCACAGTGAAGAACATTCACATGATTCAGTGTAGAATAAAAGGCGATGTGTGCAGCTTATTTATTTGTTTTTTTTTCTTTCCTTTTCTGTTTTTTTAACTCCACCTCTTGGGGTCGGCCATTTAAAATCTTCGACATGTAAAACAGAATTTGCGTACAGAATTTTTTTTTCTGCATGTCTGTGTACGTTATTCGATTAAAAACGGTTTGTCGGATGAGCTTGAAAAATAAGAAACAGAGAAATATCCAACATAATTCGCTGCAACATCAATCCCATAATCAATGCTGCCGGTTGGAGGTTTAAAAAAACCTGCTCTAAGTTAAACATGCTGACATATTGCACGCCTCTTCTGCTACGAGCTGCAGCGGGATCCTTCTGGTGTCTTCTGATTCACGGCAACATAAATAGGCTTCCTGAGAGGACTTGATGGCGCCACTCTCATTTCCTGCCTCTCCACTCTGGGTAATCATCTCTGTGTGCCTGGAGGCCCTTCAGTGTGTCTTTGAGAAAGAAGCAAAGAAGAAGAAAAAGACAGAATTGCTCAACTGCAACAGATTGGCTATAAATAAATTGAAATATGAAACAGTAATTATGTCTGCTTCTGTTATTTTATGCTATTCTGCCTCTTTTGACATTTGATCGTGTATCAACCAATGATGCCCTCTGACAAACCTCTGAGGCCTTCACAGAACGGCTGCGTTAAAACGACATTATCATTTTAACGATTGTCGAGAAATCTCAGACAATACTTTCACAAACACTGCATCTGGACTATCACACTGAGTTTACTACAATTTCCAGTAAATGTGCAGACATTGTGGGTAATGTAACATGAGACATGGGACTAGCAGAGGCGAATCCTGTTCCTGCCAAACAACTACATTATATACTAACATTTCCATCATCTACTTACATTTCCATTATTCGTGTGGAACAGTCCAAGTCTTTTGGTAAATCCCGTGTGGTTTTCTGGCAGTTGTCAGAGGACACCTGACCTTCCTAGACTAGACTGATTTGCAAGCAAAAACTTTCTCTGGCAACATCGCAGGGACATTACCATTAAGAATAAAATGATGCCACGCAGATGCTCTATTCTGCAGCACATAGCGAAACATTTTCATTTTCCAGGAGCCATTGTGCAGCGGGAAATGGGTGGAGCTTCACTTGGGTGACTAGGTGAGGGGTTGGGCACGTCTCGGGGTGGTAGATCACAAAATTGTGACACAGCAATTTAGAGGTTTTTGAAACGGGACCTTTTGTGGACACCAAAACATCTACTTATTGTGAAAAAACAGCTTTTGTTGTTGCTGCTGTTCTTGGACTGTCTCTAGCAGCTGGGGATACCCATATGGTCGTACAGAAGCATGCAAAAAGTGAATTTTGCATGTTTTGCATGCAAAATGACTTGTACAACGAGGTCCTCTAGTGGACAGTAACGGAACAGGATGAACAACTCTGTGAAACAGATCTGTTTGCCCCATTAAGTCTTGAGATTATGTTTGTTGTGAAGCGACGCTATAGGGATAAAACTACAGAATATTTGCTGGAGTGGAAATGTCGCTCAAACACACTTCCAAACTCCTCGATGTATGCAGCTGTAAGCTTTATTTAACGTTTAAACAAGAAACGACAAACATCACAGTGATCTGACAAAAGAAAAATAAATTTAAAAAAATAAAAGTGCTCCAAAAACACAATCAAACTTGTTTCTCTCCACAGTACAGACATCCAACAGATAAAGAGTGCTACTGTGATACTAGATCACTCTAAAAGTGAGGAATCCAGGAAGGATGAGAGATGAGACAACAGCTCCCTCTACAGGCTTCGCCTGGGTTACTGCATGATGAAACTGAATTATAGCACATTCTCAACTAAACAACTCGTGAAGAACTTGGCGAGAGCCTGCATGGTATCTCGGACATCATTCAGTTATTAAAAGTTAGACAAATATAGTAGAAATTAGAAAATTGTGTTGAGGTTTTTTTCTCTCTTTTTTTTCAAGATAACATGACGGCAGGAAGGAGACTTTAGTAGGGAAGGATCATCAGAGTGAGATGTGCAGCGTTTAAACAGCTTAAAGTTACACAAATACATAGAAATACAGTGTTTAATTGCTAAACCTATTTTTTTGTTCATAGATACAAATGAAAATAAATAAGTACATAAATAAATTACTTTTTTCTTACATCTGGAAGCTTTACCTGTGTTTTTATTGTCTGTTTCACAGTATTTATGTAACATAAGAAACTTCCCGAAAAAAAAAAACAAACAAACAAAAAAAAAAAATCTGGTGTTCATTATTTTAAGGTAAAAATTAAAAATGTGTCTATTTTTTATCGTAACAATTAGAAAATGTAAGATGTATGTAACGCTGTAACGATATCAGGAAATCAAGATATATATATTTTTTATTAAAACCAGAACAGCTGTTTTCTTTCAGCAACAATGTGTCAGAACTAGCTCAGCAATTTGTGAAATATGCTTATTTGCTGACTTGGCAAGAACTAAAAAAAAAAAAAGCTGCTTTTACGTTTAATATACGCTATATAAAGCAGCTTATTAGCTTAGCAACACTACGCTGTTTGCTTTGTCAATTAAATATCAATCACTGCTCAGTTTGAGATTTCAAATGATATCTAAAGACACAATATTTATGTGTGATAGATGTCTGTTTCTTCAAAATCTCAAACTATTTCTTTTGAGTTCACTTTCAGGTTGTGAACAATGGTTTGCAATGTACTGACTTGAATCTTTATATTCCTTCCTTACGTTCCCTAAATATCACTGCTCAGTCCTTCCCTTCATCTCGTGCCCTTACCCAGGACCTGTTACCGTTGCCATGTTCCTCCCTCACACCTAAACCCTCTGGCCTTGTTTTCCAGTGGCAGGCTAACAATGTTATACCATCTCTACCACAGAAAATGTACGGCCGTCATAGGAGCTGGCTACAATAAAACTGGACTTCCGCCCTTATCTACTAACAGAAAGTGTTACGATACTGAAAGGATTTTTCCTAAACAGTCGCTGAGGCCAAAACGTCTTTAGAACAAACAGGACGTCTGTGAAACCAAACTGCTTGTGTGAGTACACTCAATTGGTGGTTTACCGGCATAAAGAACGACCTTAATAAGGTTTTGACTAAAGAATATGTACTTGTAAGCATTCGTGAAAACAACTAGGTTTTTCTCCCTAAAACATGCAGTCTGTAAACAGAAATAACAGAAGGGTAAATATACTGTGTGCATTTAATTTTTTTTTTTTTAAGAAAAAGTGTGTGCCACTTTCTAGCATGAAAGTAAAGAAAATAGCTCTAGCAAGCTGGTCCCTTGAATTTGTAAGTCACATGGTTCCCACTGGCAGTCAATGAGCCAAAACCGTTTCCTGTTTGATCTGAGCTCATTTTGGCCTCTTCCACACATCCCAAATAAACCCGAGACATCACATCCTCAAAGCCTACTAACACACATCCTATCAAGATGAAATGAGCAATGATTGCGGTGTTACTTTCCGAACTCGAGGCTTCGACGTAAAACATTTAAATCCTAAAGACAACCCCATAAACCTTCACTAGAAAGACATTCAGATACATTCAGTGCTTCATTTCAAGCCTAACGACACGCTTCGCCCTCCGTACCAAAACATCCGTGGCCCACCTTGTACCTCTCAGAAGCTCAGATTGCCCCGTGCCTGATCTTACCTGCCACACCTCAAAAACATAAAACCTAAAATTAAAAAAATCCTAATCTTCCGTTGCGTTGTCGCCGTGACCTCCGAAGCGCCGGTCTAGGAGCTGATGATCTGACCCGACCAGGTCTCGTGCTTGGTGCCTGGGTTCAGGTGGGTGATGACCACTTCCACAGCCTGGACTTTCTGGTTCTTGGGCGGGATCGGACACACCTTGTAGGTGACCTCGTCTCCTTCCATAGGCACGTACTCCCCGTCAATGCTGTCCAGAGAGGAGAAATTACGATGAAATAAAAACCGCATAAAAGTCAAACGCACAGCTTGAATAGACCTTTTCCCCTCAGAATGGATCTGAAGTTGTGATATTACAAATCAGAGTGCATTCCCAAGCTCCCTTTGAGGAAATAAGGAAAAATAGATTTTTTTAGAATAAAAAAAGGAAGCTTTGCCGTCAGGATGTGGTGGTTTTTGAAATTGGTTTATTTTCCAAAACTGCAGTAGAAACACTTTTTTTTTTACATCCCATAAGTCACGTGATCAACAACCAGATGTTAGAGGATGATGGTGTGGCATGTTCAATCACTCACTGCGTGAATAAACTTATTGACAGGTGATTTCAATTTCTTTTCTTATTCAATGGAAATACCACATCTGCGAGAGAGAAATTCGATTAATTGTAAAAATATTCTACAGAGTTCTCAAATACTAAGATATTCTTCTACAATAGCCCTAGTTTTGAGAACAATGGTAATGGAAACGCAGCTACTGGAATCGCAGAAAAAGGACAGAGCACAATATTTTCCCAAAGTCCATTGAAAAGTAAATAGGTGACAAAGATAGATTTGCTCTCTAAGTTTTACATTTTCTTGCTCCAGGATTGTGAAGCAACTGGAATGTTACCTCAAGGAAAATGACAGGTGAGAAACGAGGACACGACATAGTTTGCCCCAAAACGACGGCCACAAGCTCCAGAGGAGTCAGCAGAGATTGCTTAAAATGAAGGATGGTGAGCTTGGTGAGGAAAACTCACTCAGAAATGTGAACGAAGATGTCCTCTCCTCCATGAGAAGGGCGGATGAATCCATGACCCTGAGATCTGGAAAAGTTTTTACACACGCCCTTAAATACAGGACCTGATCTGGCTCGTACTGTCCTGCAGAGAGAGAAAGACGTAGACATGGACAGGCTGATTTGATGGTCGTCAGAAGCTCTTTCTTAAAAGAATCAAGAGAAAAACACAAAAGACAAACTCGTGTACTGTGTTTGTACTCACGCTGAGTATGTGCGTGTGCGTTTTGTTGGCAGCGGGCTGGGCAGCTCTCCAGGCTGAGGTGGTTTCCTCTCCCTCTCCCAAACACGGCTGCCTTCCCTCAGGAAAGGAAAAGAAAGCTGCAGGGGCGTGCGGGGGGACGTCAAAGGCAGTTGGGGGTCTGTCGGCAATGACGGGTCGGTGCCCGACATCTTGGCTTGGCTTAAGGTTTCCGTGGCACACAAAAAAGAAAAGGGTGGAGGGTTACACCTCCTGCATGGCACGAGAGTTTCTAAGGGGGAGAGGAAGCCCAGAGAGGAGCTCTTCAAGGTGGACGGATGAAGCTACGACACCCTGGAGCGGAGAAGGCAAAAATAAAGGGTGGAACACTTGTTGAAAAGTCAGGCAGTGTGACTGCATGCCAAAGGGTTCAATGAGACCGAGGTCAGGAATGCAGGACATTCCTTCCTCATTGCTCCAAATTCTGGAGATAGTCTGACAAACTCTGCTCTGTGGAACAGAGAGCTCGGTCACTTTACTTTGAGATGCCACCCCACAGCATCATGCTGCCTCCACCCAAGGTTTGGCATTGACAAAACCAGCGGCATCACAAACCAATATTAGCAAGAAACCCTGTTGCGCCCCCTTGTGTACAAGTATTAAAAGGGTTTTGAAGGATGATGTTGATTTTTCTGAGCTGTTTTAGAATTGTAGTCTGCCTGTAGTTTTATAAATGGCACCGAAGGAAGTGAATGAAGGCGTTCTGTCCGTGTTGGACAAATATTGAATCAAGCTAAAGTAATCTTTGATGTATAGTTGAGAGAAACAAAAAGTATTGATCTTACCAAGCTAGCATCACTCCAGTACCGACTTGGTATCGATATTATTGATGTTTTTTCTGGGGTCTTTTTTAGCTTTTGACAGCTAAAAAAGACCCTGATAACATGAAAACAATCCCCTTCATTATCCTCTGATCAGACATTATTAGATAAAAAGTATTACTTCCACAACACTAACATTAATTACGGTTTATTCAAAGGTGAGCTGCTCATTGGATCATTTCATAACAGCCGTTCCTGCACAAATGAGCTCAGTCACCCACTTGACACAAACCAAATTATCCCGTCACAACAGGGAGAATTGATCTGCATCGTTAGCCGGCTCATTATTATGACAATCTGTGTACACACTGATAACTGCAGGGCGAATAAAGGTTCAGCGCTCACACCGAAACCTTGTTTGTGATGAAAACACAGCTGCGGGTGGAAGAGTCACCAGCTTCATCAGCAGCCGTATACAGGCAGGCTGAAAGCCTGAGAAAGACTGATGAGGAAAGTGTGTGTGTGTGTGTGTGTGTGTGTGTGTGTGTGTGTGTGTGTGTGTGTGTGTGTGTGTGTGTGTGTGTGTGTGTGTGTGTGTGTGTGTGTGTGTGTGTGTGTGTGAGAGTGATTCCCGAAGGCTCCGAGCAGCACACTTTGTGCCTTTTCCCATCAGTCTATATATAGTTCAGAGTGGTTGGATTGGGGCCATTACTGAGGTGGACTACAATGTCCAGGCAGGAGACCTGAAGTCTTACTCACACATTCCTTAGATTAGAAATGAAGTGTTTCAGCTTCAAGTCTGAGGCAGGTTATGAGATCTCTCAGCAAAAATAACTGATGTGTTTCACCAAAGATGTGTTTAAGCAGAGGTCTTGCAGATTTCTTCTGACTCGTTTTCCCTTTTTACGCTTATTTAATTTTGGCTCGTCAAACACAATTTGGTGTCTATAATGGCTTATTAAGAGGGTCATTGTAGGAGTAAAAACTCTGATGTTTGGATATTAATCTCATACATTTTCTCAAAAAAAAAATAACTCGGAAATTACTGATTTCCAAAAGTCTAAATTGTTTTCAGTGTTTGAAAGTAAAACAAAAAATAAGTGGACTTTTGAAACTCAGAAATGTAACTTTTTCAAGGAAAATATTGAGGTTTATCTAATATTTCCAAAATTTTTCAAGCATATTTTTGAGATTGTAAACTTTTTAGATTGAATGTTTTAAGCAGAAACGTACTCCTCCTTTTCTTTCTTCCATCTGCAATGGTACTGATATATCAGAGGAATAAAAACTGTTTTAAAGTGATTATTTTTATTTCATTTTTAAGAAAAAAAAACAGTCATCCAATGTATAAAACTAAGCATTTGCATTACCACTACCTGCCTTTCTTCTTTTTTAAACAGATAAAAACTAATTAGCCATACATCCTTTATTTTGTTTCCCTTAAACTTGATATTAATGCTTATTATCTATAATAACGTGTTCTTTTGTTGCCACAAAATTTTGTTCAATAAAGCGCAAAAAATAGTTATTCCAAAACAAATCAACAACAATATAAACAGCAATAGACACATGATCAATAACAATATATTATTGACCCATATTTATTTTATTATAATAATAGTAAGCAGAGACTTTGTCTGGTTGGCTGCAGGGATGGATCAGATTTCTTTCTGCTCCTCTTGCTCCCATGTTCAGCCACTTATCTGTCCGTCTGTGCATTAAAATCAAAATGCCAAGAAATAAATGTCCTCAACAATCCTACAGCCATAAAAAAATGTATAAACTGTTTTAGCTGCAGCAAGGTAATGGCTTTGTAAACTTTAACTTGAAATGAAAAAAAAGGTTTTAGTGTCGATTTCAGCAATCCCGGTTGTTTTCTACAGAAAACTGTCATTTAAAGCTCAAACTGCTCTGACTGATTTAGAATATGAGAACATGATCTTATCTTGTTTCATTGTGCACAAACACTTTTGTGCACAATAAAACACTTTCCAAACTAATAGCAAAAGCCCTTGTGAAGTTTCAATATCCAGAAATGTTTTAGGTCTGCCCTGTCATAATTTAGTTCCCCAGTTTTTCAGGAAAGAAAGTGAGATTTCTATGACTGGAAGTTTTGTACTGACCATCTACCCATTTGTACCCACCAAAAATTATTTTAGAAACTCAAAACGGGGGTCTCTAGAGTAATTTTGAGTTATGTTTCATGTCTGAAACAACTCTTCAGCATTTAACTTTAAGAGCCCTTTAATTGACAGACTGCTGCGTCCTCAAGGGACAAAGACGCGTCAACACAGGTCCTTCCTCCAAGCTGCTGCCCGACTTTATAACCATCACTGCTCCAAACAAAATCAAACACAATGATTGTTTACATTCTTGCTGCGAGTTGCATTTTTTCCATTTCTTGTAAATAGTCTGTTGTTTTTATTATGCACAAATATACAAGCACATTTTGTAAATTTAAGATTACGCTCCTCAGCTGAACATTTATTTTAGTCTCTAGCATTCTGGGTTTTTTAAATAACTTGGTGATATTTTCTTGTGCTGTAAATTTCCCCTTACTGTTCACTTTTGCTGTTATTGTTCTGTTTTTTAATATAAATGTTTAACCTTTGTGTGAATTTGTATGCTTCTATTCGTCTTTCACTTTGCTCCCCATGCACTTAGATTTTCCCCAGACAGTAAAGAATATTTCTACGTTTTGTTTTTTGGGGTTGTTTTTTTGTTTTGTTTTTTTCTGCTCCAGTCTATGTAAATTAAAGATGGCTGACGTTTTTTCAGGTGGTGCAGATGCAGTGATGGAGAGCACGTATTGGAGGAAAGGACGGATCTGAGGACTGCTGGAGGAAATCGGACAATAAATAATTCACAAACTTGACTGGCTGAGTTGGCCCACTTGTGAGACTGCCAGCAGGCCGGGAGTTGGACTTTAACGAGCCTGCAGTGAATGTTTCACACTGAAACAAGGCATTGAAATGGGTTTCATTTGTAGACTTTAGTACTGACGGTGGGGGAAAAAAAAGAGGGCCAAAAGCACCACCCGAAAGAAACCAGGACACAGTGGCCATTTGCATCAGCATGAGGGACGCGTCAACTCCTCTAAACACACACACACACACACACACACACACACACACACACACACACCGTCTTTAAACTTCAAATTGGCCGTTTTAAGGGACAAGTGGCCCGTTTTGTGGTCTAATCTGACGGAGGCTGAGATTAGCAGGAACTAAATGATTTAATAGTCAGCACGAGCCATTCAGGCGGCTGTTTCCAGAACATTCTCACACTGTGGGAGCGCGAGACAAGAAGGGAAGAGGATGCCTGCGGACAAAACCTCATTTCTGCCGTAAAACGACGGACTCTCACGCGCCGCCAGGGGACAAATATCACCATCTGTATTGCCGTGTCGGAATTTGAACCAGGCGCCGTGACGTTCAGACAAAGTGACCGGTTGAAAGGATGAAAGAACAAACAAACAAAACAAGGGAGTGGGGGAGAAAAGAGAGAGGAGCGGTTACTCACCGATAAAAACGTCGCGCGGACGTCAAAAAGGTTTCTTCTTCTTAATTAAGGCAGTTATGTAACGAGAACCGGCGAAAAGGTGCGGGAACATGAGCTGAATGAATGAAGGGATTTGGGTATGGATGCGTCTGACACACACACACACACACAGAGAGAGAGAGAGAGAGAGAGAGAGAGAGAGAGAGAGAGAGAGAGAGAGAGAGAGAGAGAGAGAGAGAGAGAGAGAGACGGGCAGCGAATGAAAGAGGAGGCGGCAGAGACGGGGTGTGTGGACGGGGAGGGGGGCTCCAAACAACAGCCGGCTTCACTAAACCACAGTCAATTCTTTGTTGTCAGAATGGATGGAAACAGTCAGTGGAGCTTTCAGGACAAAACCTTTCACAACATGACTGCTTCATGTGATGATATGCGTCTTAATGTTTTAGTTAAAATAAAAATTAAAAATTAATCACAGCTGTTTGGTACGACGAGTTGGTATTATGGCCACTGGAGACAGAGGAAGAAAGGAGGGGTACGCTTCGGCCAAAGAACTCAATTTATTTTGAGGTTAGTCTCAGAAATGTTCTAAACAAAACAAAACAAGGACATTTATAAGCTTAAACATTTCCTAGAAAAAACCTCGGAAATTTTGTCGAAAATAAATTCGGGGGGAAAATCACCCTCCAAAAACAAAACACTTGCATATTTGCGTTTGAAAAGAAAAAGGTTTCAAACGTGCACTGGTCTGCAACAGACTGGCGACCTGTCCAAGGTGTATCCCGCCTCTCGCCCGGAACGCAGCCGGAGGCACCAGCACCTCCCGACCCGAACCCGTTAGGGAGAAGGGTGCTCAGAAAATGGATGGATGGATGGATGGACGTGCACTGGTTACGTGTCTGCACGTTTTTCTCATTTCTTACTGATTGCTTCTTTTCTTGTTTTTAATAACCTGCTTGAAACAATTCAATACATGACAATGACAATTCAACAAAGTTTTGACATTTTTTTGAGTTAGAAAAGTCGAAAATGTTCCAAGTTTTGAATCATCCATGGCGATATTTATTTCGATTTTTTTTTTTAAACAGAGGAGTCAATCTGATTTTCATCTCGGGCCATCAAGATCATAAACATCATGGAAGAGCCGGTTGTGGTAAAATGTATTGGTAAGACAACAGACTGTTAAAATGATGTTAAACTGCTGCAGGTGCGTTGAGTACTTTTGCTTGCATTTCCTTTTAATTACTGTAAAGCACTTTATATTGCCTTGTTTCTGAAAATATGCTATATAAATAAAATGATCTTCCCCTGATACACTTCTTCAATTTCAATATAGAGAAGCTCTTGAGACAGTGCGACTGCATGCTGTGTTGTACACTTTTGAATTTGCTGTGTAAGAAAAAAAAAGTCAGCTGGAGCAATGTACTTGTGTACTTTGCTTTTGCTGGAGAAAAAAAAAACTTCTTACATTTTTCCAGATTATATTGATTTTTAATACTGTTCAACAAACAGCCACAATACCAGCTGAAGAAATTATATCAGTGGATTTTTATTTTACAATCTGCTTTAATTTCTGTTGTACAGAAAAGATCATCTGGGAGCAAAACAAACACAGAGTCAGACACTTTACATGGAGTGGTTACAAGGAAGAGCCTTTGTCTGATTGGCAGAATAAATCCAAAAATTAAATTTTTTTTTTCTGATTTGACTGACTGACCCCCCCAACATTCCCCAAATCTACAAGTTTTGCTGGGAATTATCTTTGTATATAAACAAAAGCTCAGAACAAGAACAGTTTTATGACTTTCTTAAAATTCTCATTGCTCAAGAAAATCTGTTAAATTATTTCAGCGGGGCTAAAAAAAAAATATGAAAGATGCACATAAAGAAAAACACAAGCTGCAAGGTTACCCTGTGAGTGAAATGACGAGGGCCTGGAGCTGCTGCAGAAAAATTATTATAAATACATAACAGCAGAAAAGAAAACATCATGCGCTTGTCCTCATTGGAAGTGATCATGAGAGCAGTGGAAGCATAGGGGAAGAGTTACAACAGTTTCACAGCGTATTAAAGCGAATGAAGCGCTGCTGTGCTGTGTTGCAAACCAACTAACACATAAATATAAAAACGACCCATACTGGTCTAACTCTGTTAGATATACAGCAATCTGACGTTCAGTACGTCTCACGAGTCATCTTTACGTTCCTTTCATATACATATAACAGGTCTGCCTGCTGCAGCTCCGATGCTCTGCAGTACCGCCTTTGTGCCACCAGAGGGCAGAAAAAACGAGCGTTAAGTGTGACAGTTTATTTTAGGTCCGTGTGACGTAACACAAGTTTGTACAGAACCCGTAGCGGGACATTGAAGGACTAAAGAAAAACTAAACATTCTCGAGCGCACCGAATACACACCACTTAATCAATGTGTCATTATCGCCAGGTAATATGTCGCGAACCACATACCATCTCGCGAGAAGCAGATATTTGGTGCGCACGAGATGGTATCAAGTATGCGGAGAATACTTCGTAGCGTCTCGAGCGCAGGAGATGCCATCTGTTGCGCACGAGAAAGTATCTGGTCTCGGACGGAGAAAGTTCCGTTTATCCTTTAATGTTCTGCTACGGTTCCGTAGGTTTGTTAACGAGTCCAGAAATAGAAGAAACCATTGTAAAGATGAGCCTAAAAGCAACAGAGTGACTGTTCAGCTGACCGGGCGGCTGCTCAACATTGTGCAAACTTGTTTACACAACTGCAATAGCGACCAGGGGTCAGCGTTCACTCTGTCCCGGGTCAGGTCACAGCTTATTGTGTCAAGAGTGTGTGTGGATCTATAACTGGTACTCTCTGCTCGAGGAACATACAGCAGCCTCACATCATTTAAAAAATATGCTTAATGTTGCTGAATGAGGATTAAAAGATAACAATTACAGGACGAAGTTCAACTGTTCCATCAAAATCATTAGCTTGACATTTAAAGGTACTCCTGGTAATTGTACTTAAGTGAAAGCTGCAAGCTAATTCTGATGATGAAATGGTTATTTGACATTCTGTTTCCTCCCAAACTGTGCCACCCTGTTTCCCTCCCTCCACGGCTCAGTGTTGCAGCTGCTTCATCCTGTTCAGGGCCGAGCCCGCCTGGAACCATTCGATCTGGGTCTCGTTGAAGCTGTGGTTGAGCTCCAGCGTCTCCTGGCTGCCGTCGCTGTGCGTCACGACCGCTGTCAGGGGCTGAGAACGATGAGACGAGAGAAAAGACCCTCAGAGGAAATGTTTTTTTTTTATCTATGTCTGAACAGCTAAAGTATACCAGATGTTAGATTGTACCTTTCCTGGTGCAAAGGATTGCAGTCCCTTGATGGAGATCTTGTCGTCGGGGCGGATTTTGTCGTAGTCGGATGGGTTGCTAAAGGTGAGGGGAAGCAGGCCCTGCTTCTTCAGGTTTGTTTCTGAGACATGGAGGACAAACTGTTCAGTTCAGATGAAACTCAACCAAACTGAATGACACAATTTTAATGTTCTTCATTTTACTCACTGCTGAGTAATTACAAATTTATGTGATTTGTAATTACTGCTGCCATCAACTTCCTATCATCTTCTATAGAATCTACACTTCACCATTTGTTTTTGTTCCTGGCTCTCTCTTTCTTAGAAGGAATCACTGATGGAGATATTGCCCCTATTTTTTTTTACTTGTCCATAGTAAGTAGCCCTGGTTCAGTGGTTCTTTGGGGAGCCGTTTTTTGCAGGTTTCACCAACTCAAATTTCAGACCACTGTGAATAGAATTTAAGACCTTCGTCTCCACAGAAATGTATGAACTTTGTTCAGCCAACTGGGGAGAAATTTGAACTTTCCTGCCGTGATAGTTGCAAAAAAGTTAGCTAGCTATTTAGCGAGAGTATGTTAGCAGGGAGTTCATGGTAGCCTTAACGGTCTATTCACAAAATGAAGATATCTGAGTGTAACTTCAAATGTGCCTAACAAAAAGGTCCCGCGAAAATAAATAAATAAAAATATGGGATATACATGAATAAATAGACAAAATTTAAGGCCTGTGATTTACATATTACAGGCAAACCTACTTTTTATAATAAATATATTTTAAGCCAGTTCTTCTGACGGTTTCTTCCTGTTAGGATTGGGTGGTTCCGTTCAACTGTCGCTACATGCTTGCTAACAAGAACAGATTGCTGAGACTTGATGAAGTTGACTGATTTTTATTAAGGCAACATTTTACCAAATGGCAAATACATCATCCAACTGTATTTGTGTTATATTATATGTCATGTATTGTATGATTATATTTTATGTAGGGTTCTATATTTGATAGAAACTGAACTCTTTTGTCTTTTAAAGGACACTTGTTAAAAAATTGGGCTATTTAAATAAACCTGACCCAGCTGGCTTCATGTTTATATAGCTATTTGCGGCATGAACTGTGTGGCTCACCGTGGATTCTGGCAAAGCTCTTGACAATAATGGCTCTTCCACCCAGATGCCTGGGCTCCAGAGCTGCATGTTCTCTGCTGGAGCCCTCGCCGTAGTTATCATCTCCAACCACGACCCACGACACGCCGTTGGCCTGCAGAGGAGAAGCAATAAAAACAGTTTCACTGACTTTCAATTTGAGATTTTACAGCTTATTATGAAAGACAAACACCTTTTGAAACCAGAATAGAAATTATATAGGAATGGATTGTAATTTTTCACATACAATTTTAAAGATTATTACATAAAGGGGTGAATCGTTTTGCAATTCCTGGCCGATCACCAGACTTTAAAGAGCCTGACCTGCTGATTCCCATTTTGGGCAATGCAATTTTTTTTGTTTCAAATGTTGCTAAATGCAGCTACAAATTTGCTAATGGGCTTGACGTGGTGTGACGAACGACTCAAGGTGAACCCAACACATGGGACGCGATAGCGATGAAACTGCAATAGCAATCGCGGTGTTAGAAATAGTAGTGCTAGCAATGGCAACAGAAACAAAAGTTTAACTTTTTTCAACTTTTCTTGTGTCGCTACGTGTTCTGGCTTGAAAGGAGGTTCTATACGATATGATTGGGGAGGGAGTGATGTTTTTTCAGACCTTTGCAGAGGTAGATAACATCAGGTTCACATGTACGTAATTATCGGTTGATCACAAATCATCAAAAATTAAGGAAATGGATGTGTATTAATCGGCTGGCTGATCAATCGGTGCAAACCTATTTAACAGTCACATCTTGAACTCTCACCTTGTAGTGTCGTGCCACATCAGGGACTCCTCCGTACTCTCCCGTCAAGTGGTTCTTGATCTTGTTTACGGCGTCGTTCTCGCTGTTGACGGCACCGATCAGCATGTTGTTGGAGATGTTATCTAGATGGCCACGAAACTTCAGCCAGGGTCCTGCTGCGCTGATGTGGTCTGTGGTGCATTTCCCCTTCACCTACAGAGAGACGGGTGAGAGTTACCCTCCGACGCCAGCAGCCGTCAGAGCGTTCCCATCTAAACTGGCGTGTGCCCACCTTGATGAGGACCAGCATGTTTTCCAGATCATTTCCGCTCCACTTGTCAAAAGGCTCCAGCAGCTGCAGCCGGTTACTCTGAGGACTGACGTCCACCGAGAGGCTGGTGCCGTCGCCTGGAGGGTGCTGGTAGGTGTCCTGCCCTGGGTCAAAGTCCCTGGCCGGTAATTCATCTCCGGTGGGGGGCACCAGCTTGAACTTCTCTCCCGTAGGGGTTGTGAGGTAATCTGTCTCTGGGTTGAAGTCCAGCGTCCCAGCGATGGCGAGAGCAGTGACGATCTGAGGGAAGTAGGCAGGAGGCAGGACGGTAGGTACAGAATGTGAACCTGTGTGTGCTGGGAGGTCTGGACCGGTCTGGGTTTACCTCAGGAGAGGTGACAAACGCATGAGTGGCAGGGTTGGCGTCGTTCCTGGCGGTGAAGTTCCTGTTGAAGGACGTAATGATGGTGTTCTTCTCTCCCTTCTTCACATCCCGCCTGCACATAAACAAATATACGGAATATCAATACAAACTTTGATCAAGCTGATTTATTACAACAGGAAGTGACAACACAACCAGACCCTTACTAGGATTTCATGAAATCGACCAGGGGTCAGCGGCCTCAACAATTTTAATAGCCAAGTTTGCCTTCAGTCCAGTTGAACAGCATTTGTTTAGCAACATGAGTCACTAAGACAAATAGCTCATTTTTTAATAATACCTACTATAGAAAATTTGTTCAGATTTTTTTTTTATTTTTCCTTCCAGGTCCCATTAATTTCGTTTTGGGATTTAATACATCAATGAGATGTTTGATTTGTGTAACCTCTAGGACCTTTGAACAAAAACACACTTACTAATAAAAACTTCACTTAACAGGGCAGTGTTATGTATTTTCAGCCACATATTATCACTTTATATGTGGCTGAAGGTAATGAGATTACCTTCAGTTGCATTACATTATGGTAAGAAGCTAATAAAAAGTCAGTTTGACATAAATATGCCCTTTAGTAAAACATAATATTTCTAACACTATTAACATTATTCTTTGGGAAGATGTTCTGCATATATTGTATAAAAACACCTATGAACAACTTCTAAATTACCTTTACATTTTAAAATATTGATAAATTCTTCAGCAGATTGGGCCAAAGTTGTGAACGGCCACAGCAGAGGGCCTAAAGAGCTGCTCTGGAGCCACAGGCTGCAGACCCCTGTGATAGACCACCCCAAAGTAGCACAGAACTGGAAGGTACATGACCCAACAGCTTTTTTTTTTTCCAATATTTAGTGTTAAAAATATTTTTTTCTCATAAGCATATTATTTATTTTCCACACCTGATGTCATTTTAAAATTAATTACCTGTCCCACTGTCCAATGCAGGGCCCACATGCATTGGCAAGAACCACACCTCCAACATCACTGAGGATCTTTGACTAAAAGGTAAAAAAAAAACACACAAAAAAACACAAAGAATAGTGATAATTTTATCACTTCAGAACGAGAAGTTATGTGCAGTCTGTTTGAGCCAGCATTTACATATCCGTCTCTTTCGATGGTGGCACGGATCTGCTCAGAGCCAGGGGTGACGGTGAACTGAGCTTTGCACTTCAGGCCTTTGTCCAGGGCCTGTTTGGCCAGGGAGGCGGCCCGGCCCATGTCCTCGTAGCTGGAGTTGGTGCAGCTGCCGATCAGACCTTCAAAGTGAAACAGGGAAGAAATCCTCAACAAAAGTCAAGCTTGGATACATGAAGAGCAGCACATCGCCGTCTGTCCTCACCAACTTTGACCTCCAGTGGCCAGCCGTTCTTCTTTGCCACGGCACCGACCTCAGACACGGGGTGCGCCAGGTCAGGGGTGAACGGCCCGTTGATGTGAGGCCTGAGCTGGAAAGAAACAACGAGAAAACAGTTAGGAAGAAAAACATCCAATAAATGATGAATTGTTGGGACATTCTATTCAATATAACAGCAAAAGGAAAGGACTGCAGGTGAGAAAGCATCATTTTATTATTAAACTGAACACATGAGATGCCAGGCCTTCAGGCTATAACTGTTTCATTATGCAGCAGAACTGTTTGATTTCAAAGTGGAAAATGGATGAAGTTTATAACCAGAAGTTTGTGTTTAATGTGGATTTCTACTCCTGCCATTATATAGCTAAATATCTGACATATTCTTGTTGCAATAAGAAATAAATGAATTAATTAAAATAAAAATTAAAAATTAACTCAATAGTTTCCATTTGCATAATTTATTGTTTTCCTCTTTCTTACTTTTACCAGAAACTGGATGATAAAAACCTTTTTTTTTGAGGGTCAGTTTTGTTCACAGAGACTTTGTAACTCTTTTTATTTGTTGTTTTTTTGTTTTTGTTTATTGATTTATTTATTTTGAAAACTTAAAATGTCTTCCAGATGCAGTGTTAAATGTTTATTAGAGTTTAATTTATAAATCTCAGCTCAACTTAACAATCAGCTTGGCAGAAAAACTTATTTATTTGTCCCACATAAATAAATAAATTCAGGCAGTAAGGAGTTAAGACCTACCTCGTCCAAGTTGAGTTCGATGATCTGGTCGTACTCACAGCCTTCATCTGGTACCAACAAGTCCTTGAATTGATCAGCCACAGCAGCGATCTCTGAGCGAAAACACACATATTTATGTGATCGCCGCTCTGCAGATTCAGTGACGGATCACTCTCTCTCTCTCTCTCTTTTATTACAGATGTATCATAAAGACACAAACTGTAAGCCCACCTCCTCGGCCGGTTTTCTCCAGGTAGGTCTTCATGCGGTGATTGTATGGAAACACAGAGGTTGTTGCTCCAATTTCTGCTCCCATGTTGCAAATGGTGGCCATTCCTAAACAGCAGGAGATGATTCAGCAGTCGTGCTTTCTGAATCATAATGTTCATATGTTGAACTGATTTCTTCATGGTGCTGACCAGTGCAGGAAATGGAGTCCACTCCCGGTCCGTGGTACTCCACGATGGCGCCGGTCCCTCCCTTCACCGTCAGGATGCCCGCCACTTTCAGGATGACGTCTTTGGGAGACGTCCAGCCGGACAGGGTGCCGGTCAGCCGCACGCCGATCACCTGGAAGAGTGCAAACAGGGGAATGCATTAAAATAAGAAGAAACGATTCATCCATCCATTTTTCTTTACAAGGGTCGGGAGGGCTGCTGGTGTCTATCTGCAGCTCTCAACGAGCGAGAGGACACCCTGGACAGGTCGGCAGTCCATCGCAGGGGAACACAGAGACAGGCAGGACAAACAACCATGCACACACACACTCACACCGAGAGAGAATTTAGAGAGACCAATTAACCTAACAGTCATGTTTTTGGACTGAGGGAGGAAGTCGGAGTACCCAGAGAGAACCCACCATCCACAGGGAGAACATGCAGAAAGACACTGAGCTGGGAATCAAACCCAGGACCTTCTTGCTGCAAGACAACCTGTAAGGAATGTGAGCGAGAAAGAGAGAGAGAGAAAGAAAAAAAGGAAGGGGCCCAACCTTGGGACATTTGAGCTCCCAGGGGATTCCAGCCATGACGTCTACAGCGTCGGCTCCGCCCACTCCGATGCAGATGGCGCCAAGCCCGCCGCCGTTTGGTGTGTGGGAATCTGTGCCGATAAGCATCACTCCTGGGTAGGCGTAGTTCTCCAGGATGATCTATGGAGATGCAGATTGTCTTGTTGGGGAAAATTAACACTGCAACTAATGCTCATTTTAGCAATCGATTATTCTATAAATTATTCTGATAATTAATTAGTTAAATGAAAAAAATTAGAAATACATTGAGAGATGCAAATAAATAGATTTTTTTAAGCAAGAAAATAAGCGTTCTATTACATTAAATGCAATAACCCAGCATTCCATAAGTGAACGCTGGATCATTTGTAGCAAAGGATGCATCTGCAGCTAAAACAATCTTTCTAACATCAACATGTCAGAGACTCAGCTCTGGCTGCTTCACCCAACATCAATAGCATAAGGCTGATCTGGTGATTATTTTAGAGATTAATAACTGAAGAATAAGAGGTGTTTAATATTAATATTTTTAAACAGAATTTCAACCAGGTGAAGCGAAAACTAAGCTACAAATTTACATAATTTTTTTTTTTATCTGAAATGCAAATTGAAAAGAACGGTGTTGTTTCTTCACTAAATGTTTTTTTTAGACTGTATCACCAAGTTAATGATTAATAGATGACTAAATTAATTGACAAATATTTCAATAACCGATTCATCACAATTAAATGTTTCAGTCTCTACAAAAATATAGAGCTACATCTGTAGTAGACTAAACCACAGCCATACTGAGAGCAGCTTGGTCTCAAAGTTCCTGTTTCACTGTACCTGATGGATGATTCCAGAGCCAGGTTTCCAAAAGCCCACTCCATATTTTGCTCCAGCGCTGGACAGGAAGTTGTAGACTTCCTGGTTCACTTCCTATGGGAACAAACAGACCTGTGGCTCAATTGTGGGTTTCAAATTACAAGCCAGGCTGGATTTACAAAGGTGGACCCCTTGGCTGGAAGTCATAAACACAGTACAAACTAATGATGGTAGGTTTAATGCATCCCTTGGCCAGCAGGATATGGACTTAAAGTTTTATCACAATAATTTTGTGAGAACAAAAATTATTTGCTACTTCTTTTTTTTACATAACTTTCTCACCTTTGCCCTGGCCAAATCCTTGACTCCGCCGATCTGGGCCTCGATCAGGTGATCGCAGTGGATGGTGGAGGGCACGGCAACCCTTGGTAGGCCACTGCTGATGAACTGCAGCATGGCCATCTGGGCCGTGGCGTCCTGCATGGCCACGCGGTCGGGTCGCAGCCGCAGGTAGGTGCGACCGCGGTCGATCTCCTGGTGGTGGGGGTCGTCCAGGTGGCCGTACACGATCTTCTCTGACAGAGTGAGAGGACGATTGAGCCTGCAGACAGAATAAACTTTGAGGATATTCCGCCTGGACTGAGGAGAGAAAATTCTGCTAGAATACACATCAACACAGACAAGGCAGAGTTGTAGGAAACCCACAGCATTATGCACTGACCTTTTTCGGACAATTTCAACATTGCTATGGAGCTTCTCATAGTTGATGAAGGAAGTGGGCTCAAAGCGGCTCATGGCCACGTTGGCCTTGGCTCTGTAAGCGGCCGATACATGCAGGCGCCGGGCACCATGACCCAGGACCAGCTGGAGACACACACACACACACACACACACACACACACATCAAGTTTTGGTCAAACATGTAAAAAAAAATAAACTGCAGCGAACCTTCTTTCAAATGGTTCTGAAAGTGCAATTAGGAATTCTAAATATGATGTAAATAATAAGTCAGTGCAAAAAGCATAGAGTTGGATTGAATAAATCTGTCCTTAGAATTGTTTTCAATGTTGGACCGATGCAGATATCGCTTCTTTAATAAAAACCTCAGGTGTTGATATGACACCAGACCAATAATAAAGATATTTCAATCCAGAAATATCAGATGACTGAAAAGTGTGTCCAGTATTATACTCTGTATTTGGTTGGGCTCCTTTTGCACGATTACTGTCAATGTGGCGTAACATGGAGGCCATCAGCCTGATTTTCAGGACTTTGGTGAAAATCCGACAGTCCAGTTTTCTTCCTACTTGGGTTCGGACTGGCTTCAGCACAATAAATGTGACAGTCGATGTCTACATCCTGGATGTGTGGCGTTGCCAGTCAACAGGAATTCTTAAATTGCCTTAACCTAACAATCTTCTGACATCCTTTTATTTGTTTGCGTTATTGATGACTAAATTAATTGACAAATATTTCAATAACCGATTCATCACAATTAGTTAATTGTGATTCATCACAATTAGTTAATTGTGATGAATTGATTTTTTTCTTCAATAAGCTTGAACTCAGTCAGCTTCTTTGGAAATGACCTTTCATGTCAACAACTGTCTTCTGAATAGACTTCAATTCAGCAGTATTTCAAACGATTGTGTAGCCCAGGACATGTTTATAACATAACATTTATGTCTAACAATAGCAATTATTTTTATTAGTCTTAAGTTATTTTGAGTTTTCATTTGACATCGGATGGGAACGTAACAATATACTCGTTTGCAGAGGCTCAACTGTTTGTTGTTTTGTATGTTAAATTTAGGGAGGTATTACCTGATTGCTTGTGTTTTTTTGATTTATGGGTTTTTGGTCACCTGAGGACAATATTCAGTAGAAAATCAACCGCTTGCAGCACAGAAATCTGGGACCTTTTCAAAGGCAAAAATAAACAGAAGACATTCCGCTAACTTCAAATAAAGCAAAGAGATTTGAGCAACCATTTTTGAAAACCACAGCTTGTGTGTTTAAAGGGCCCACTGAGAGGTCTAACCTTGCTGTTAACCTTGCTAGTCGCGACCAAACCCGAGCGTTAGAACCAAAGCAACCGTAGCCGTTTGAAGGCTTTGGGTGTTCACGATAACATCTCATTATAATAGTGAACGTCTGTGATTTGCGGAGTCGGTTAGTTTTGAAGCAGCTGTCTTCAGCGAAACAAACGTTCAGAGAGGCTCGGGACACGATGACCTGAGCCGCTTCTTCGCTCCCAGCCACGCTTCTCTGACCTCCAGCGGGCTTGCTAACGCCTCCTACCAGGTTTATCCGCTCGGAGAGAGCAGCTGACCCCCCTCTCCTGTCGGCTGAGGGGATTTAAGCTGAGTTTTGAGAGTCTTACCTGGAGCCGGGCCACAGTCAGACAGTAGGTTGCCATTTTGTTCACTGACAAAGATGTGAGGGTCGAGTGTGACGTCACGCGATTGTAAAGTCCTTTCTCTTCTTTTGTGGTTGGGAGGAGTCGGCGCTTTCGATGTGCCGCCTCCTACTGGAGAAAATCAATTACTACAAATTAGTAGTGGTGCCACAAGTACGACTAGCACTTCTGCAACATATTTTTACTCGAGTAAAAATAAAAAAGAAGTAGCTTTCTAACAAATCACTCGAGTATTTGGAAAAATAACATAATATGACATGATTTAATATTTTAAAAATGATTTCATCACACATAAAACATAAAGTTATGTGCAAATGCTGACATTTTAAAGACAAATAAAAAGCACAATTATTAAATTCAAATTCAGGCAGAATAAAAAAATTTTTACATAAATTTTCAACGTCTAAATTTACATTTTTGTATAGTGTGTATTATTACTGGGGAACATACTTCCAATGACAATATGTAGTGTTTAATGCATTTCATTAATGGTAAAAGAATGGTTAAACAGGTTCTGCAGATAGAAAATAACATCAGAACTACAAAGCTGGTGAGTTTTCTCTCTTTTCATTGAAGTTATTTGCATTGGACAGAGTATCCAAACATTTTTCTCAACTAAGACTTATAATATTGCTTGAGTAGTATTGTTAAGGTAAAAAGCAAAAAACACAGCGCAGTAAATCTACTCCTAAAAGTATTTTTTGCCCAAAAAGTTATTCAAGTAAATGTGAGTGAGTAAATGTACCTAGATCCTACCCTCATTTAATTGTAACTGACTACCGTAGGTCAAACGTTGTTTTTCATTAATAATAATATTATTCATACTCTGTTTCAACTAAATATTATTTCTGTCCCTTCAGCTGTTTTCTATTGGGAAAACTTTTATTTGGTCAAATGCCATGTTCACAGCTCTAAGGTTTCATCATCTTCACTTTTTTTCTGTTTTTTCTTTTTTTTTTCTTTTTTAAAATCAAATTATATTTATATACTATTTCTAAAAGTACAAACAAAAAAATCTGTAAATACATATGAATGCTGCAGAGTCCACTTTTTATTTCATGTATTTATTGTAGAAGCCTGGTATTTTTATGGATATATCTCCTACTTAACATCCATTTACGTGACTATTTAACTTCTTGTGTCATTTTATTATTTCGACGAATAACGATGTACTGATTTAATTTCGAGAAATGAATTCCAAAGGTGTAGTTCCTTATTGGAGCCTCTAAGTGGCGGTAATGTGGTAACAGGAACACAGGACTGGGGTGAAAGGTTGCAGTTGAAACGTACTAGCACCGCTCGGTGTAAGTTAGCCTAAAATGGCCAAGCATCATCCAGATTTGATTTTTTGTCGAAAACAAGCCGGTGTCGGTAGGTCTGACTTAGTCCATCTACAAATAACATACCAAGCAGCTCTACATCACCAGATACCTATCTCTATTACACTCTTACGCTAGATAGCATTAGCCGCTAAGCTAATTGTTGGAGCATGGATTTCAATGGAAACATTAGCTGTGATGTTAGACTTTACTTTTCTTCGTGCATGTTTTCTCCCCTGAGATACTCTCAATTACTTTTATTATGGTTTGTTTAACGAGCAAAAAAATATACAGTTTTGAAGTGTGAGTTTTAATAAATGTTCCAGTTTGACTGACTAACCTCTTTGTTTCAACTCCGCAGCTATCGGGAGACTTTGCGAGAAATGTAAGTGTTGTCATCTGCATTTGGATAACACCAACAACCCTGTTTCAGGAACTGGAACGAATATCTGCTGCATCTGGTTTTATTGCAGTGCTACTTTGATTTCTTGGTTAAATGTACAAATTAAATATGGAGTCACCTGTAAGCTCGTCATTTTGTTGGAGGGGAAACATAAGAACAGATTCAGGCGGAGTGTGCTGAGTTGGTTATATTTACCTAATAAAACAGAGGCCAGAAAACTCGTCCACTGTTCAGCATTGTAGCTTTGTAAACCATATATTTTAAAAAAAGAAAATAATGTAGTCATAGAATGACATTTGTATTAAGAAAACTAATTGCGTGTGTTCCCCAACTCCAATTTGAAAACTGCCCAAAATTTGTCCTGCCAACACAGGTGCTTGAGACACATGGAGACATTTTGTTTATCAGAGCAGAATTACAAGACAATTAATATTTCATGTTGGAATATGTTCAATACAATAGAAAACATTCATATTTTAGTAGCCATACGTTTTGTGTTCTCCTTAATTTCATTGTATTTATTTGAAGACTTTTACTCTAAAGCAGTCTTGCCACTACCTCTCTGGAAATATCTTCCTTAAAATGACCATGAGTCTTAAATTTGCACCTTGTTTTACTTCTGGACATAACTGGAGTGAGAATTTTGAGGAAAAACTGGCATTCTGACATGAGAAGCATCTAGGAACAACATGAAGTGTATACTACAGTTAAGTTAAAAGTCCCTTCCCTGCCCCTCGGTTCTTCACCTGGCTCTCTGTTTTCCTGTGTTTTTCCAGGTGATGGGAAGTGTGTGATCTGTGATTCCTATGTGAGGCCGTGCACGCTGGTGCGTATTTGTGACGAGTGTAACTACGGCTCCTACCAGGGCCGCTGCGTGATCTGCGGAGGCCCTGGTGTATCTGATGCTTACTACTGCAAAGAGTGCACCATCCAGGAGAAAGACGTGAGTCTCTTCTGCTGCGATTTCTGTCTGCTGTGTGCTTCTCCTAACACTTCCTAAACTTTTTTTCTTTTGATTTTGTGTGCAGCGGGATGGCTGTCCTAAGATTGTGAACTTGGGCAGCTCTAAAACAGATCTGTTTTATGAAAGGAAGAAGTACGGCTTCAAGAAGAGGTGAAGAAACCGAAGTCTGGGCTTTTAGTTTTGCAGTTTTTCTAAAGCATCCACAAAAAGAACCATTGTTTTTTCATAAATAAAGCTTTTTTCTGTTTCTGTGCATTTTATTTATTTTTGCCTGAGTGTTTGTGCTTGTAGAAGTCCCTTCACAAAGATAGTCTAAAAATCAACAGACTGACTTTCGGACTGCTGAATATACCTTCTTCAATATGGTGTATGTTCCAAATTTTGTCAGAAACATGAGTTATTTCAAAACCACAGAATTAATAGATACAGAATATAGTAGAGACTAGGGATCCAGGATATATTGGCATTATATCAGTGGCAGCCGATGTTTATTTCCTTCTTGTGTTCGTGAAGGGGGAAGGTCTTGGTGATATGACTGTGGAGTGTTTAACTGAAGTAGAGAAGCAATGTGTTTTTTTTCAGTGTTGGGTGGTTGGGAAAGATGTACACCTCTTAACTATTGGCTATCAGCAAAAGTAAAATTGGATACTTATCGACTCAAATTGTCGATAGGTATTATTGTCAAACCTGCTAAACTTATGGCTTAAAAAAAGTAAAATCACTCTACTTCAGTAATATTTCATGCTGGAAAAGCAGCACTACTTCTCTAAAAGTAATCTTAGTTTTATCTTCCTTGTTACAATTTCAAACATTTCAGGTCAGATGAATTTAAATGAATAATATGAGTAAAACTAGAACACTGGCACACAAACCATGTTCTGCTGTGGAACCATTTGACATGGGATTTCCTCCCACCCCCATAAATAAAATGTGCCCAATTTTAAAGTTGGTTATTCATACATAAGCAAATTAAAAAACTGTAATAATGCCTAAAATGGGAGTTGAAAGTTGCATCTAAATATTTTTTATACCTCAAAAGATAAGATTTTAAAACAATTTCCATGACAGTTAAAAAAAAAAATTGCAAAAAATCTCCCCAAACTTTAGATTGTCACAAAAGGGTGCTCCAACCTGTTTAGGTTTTCTTTACTTCAGTGCAAAACCATTCTGAAGACTTTTTTTATTCATCCGATGTCTGTTAGTTAAAATGAAAGACAAGGGGAAAAAAAGTCCAGACCTGTGTCAACAAGGCTTTAATTTTTCATACAATATATACAAGACAGCATCACTCAAAATGCCATATGTTTAAAAAAAGAAGTAACCAGTAAGTTAAGAATTTGACCTGTTTTAAAGAAAAAGGCTGATTCGACCTCCATTACAGCACAAGGCAATAAAAATAAAAAAAAGTCAAACATTTATTTTTTTTACCCATAAAAAACCCGATTTGGAAAATAGAATCCATTACGTGACTGAAAATAATGAAGCTTTTAGTTGAATAAATCTAGAATATTCCCCTAGTAATGTCTTGTACATCCTAAACGTACAAATGCTGTTAATTTTTTTTTAAAGTGATTATATTCCTCACATTTCAAACTCCTCTTCAAATTAAAAGGACATTGTATTGAACTTATCTGATCAAAACGGAAGCACAAAGAGCTACATAAGAAAAGCTCCTTTCCCTTTTATTGTCAAAGCTGGAAAGTTAGATAACCTGAGGGTTGGTCAGAACTGGGACTGTAAACTGGGAGATTGCAAGCTGCATTGAAATGGCTTTAGACGAAGGAGATGCTTTAGATTTCAAGTCCTTATCTGTGGAAAAGAGGCCCCATCACAGTATGTATCAGAGAACACCAGTGATACAGAACAGACGCATTTAGCTTACGTGCTGCAGTAAAAATGCGTTTGGAAATAGCTAGCTTGATAGGTGAACTTATATTGCCATGTGTTAGAGATTATTTGCTCTAACTTGTATGAAACGACTGTAAATATGAACATTAAAATATCTGCAATATGATGCTTTTTTTTTCCTTTTCCCTAAAAGGGCTACATATTTTTTCTCAACCCTCCCGCAATCGTAAGAGGCATTGAATGGACCTCACATGAGCTTTTTACGGTCCCAGCGGAGTTGCGGTTGCACTGTCCCCACACGCACTTTTATCTGATTTTCTTTTGTTTGTTTGTTTTCCTCGTGGTGTTGTGAGCTGACCCTTCGTTCCCCGCTGTCTGACCGTGACATCTGCTGCACTCTTCCGAAGCCAAGTCGAGCGGAGACTGCGGGAGTGTTAAACCTGCCAGCTATGCTTACAAAGTCAACACATCTGAAGCTGAGTAAAATGGATGAGTTGAAACAGCAGACATCCTTTAGGGATGAAAGCAGGAGTCCAGTCTGGTGAGAAAGTGCTAGACGGACAGACGACAGACATCAAAGCAGGGTGTTAGAAAGCAGTTCGCCTCTGGAGTGGTAATGAAAACATAGAAATAAAAAAGTGAGCACGGCCTGGTTCTGGTTTTTCTTGTTTTTTTCTTTTCCTTTTGCCGTGTCACTGAAATCCCCTGAAGGAGCTTAAAGTTGCTGGAAGAGTCACAGTCAGACATTCCAGTGGGCAAAGACAGGCCCAGCTCTTCAAAGCAATCTGGTATTAGAGAAGTATGAAAAATAAAACTGCAAACGAAATTACCTCATATAATCTAAAACCATGGCATGGACTGCCTAAATATCACCGGACAGGACTTCAAAACTTGGGATTTCTTCTAAAAATGATCTCTTTCAGGCTACAGGTGTACAAATCAGAAAGTACACCAAACGAACAAGGCGTGCTGAAGAAGCACTTGAATATCCACCTACGTTCACCTCATTCAGAAAGGTGATAATACAAAGAATAAAAAAAAAAAAACACACAAACAACAAATGATATCTTAACATTTTACATCTCCATGGCAATGTCAGATCCTGCCTTCACAAGCTCTTCCTCTCCACCTTGACGTCATCAGATCGGTTCTTGCGTACCCCCGCCAACGGTTTGATTTATTTATTCATCAGAGAAAATAAATGAATAAATCAACTGATGTCTACTCGTCATCTGGCGGCGCACTTGAAAGAGAAGAGAACAGGGATGAATGAGCGGGCAAACAGCAGCAGGTGCTGAAGCAGAAAGAATACGTTTCTTTGTCCATCAATGGTGAATCTAACAGGAGAATCGGCTTTTAATTCACCGGCTCACTCAGAGAACGTCACTGCGTCTCATCAATAGCTCTCTTTTTGCCAGATTATGAGATCATCACAAGAAAGCTTATTTCACACATGCACCACTGAACTGTCACTTCATTTGACTCTCCAATTTCAAGACAGAAGACAGAGCCCAATTTTCACACACTGTACAATTATTACAAAAAAAGAAAAAAAAACTTTAGTTTTTTGGGGCGCACTGATCGATAGTTTCTGACCAATCACCAACTTTGGTTGAAACTAAATTTTTTTTCTTTCTATAACCAGCACAGTCAAGTGCTGGTTATAGCACTTGACTATAACCACATGACCAACATTCCAATCTTATTTTATTGAAAAATATGAAACAATACCAGTGAAACAATACAAGTTTGCTTTACTAGAAATTTAGTAGTGCTCTCAAATTAAAAAGTTGAGAGCACTCAAAATACTAAATTAACAGAAATTTTATTTTCCACATTTCTACGTTCTCTTTCACAGCAAAGCAAACGCAGACATCAACTGACTTTCAACTGACGTCTATAGATAAAATCGGTTTGGCATGCAGGAATCAGTCGCTCGATCGGTGCACCCCGACTTATTTTGACATTTCAACAAAAACTGAGCGTTTCAAGCACACCTAGGTGACATTCAGGCTATCTGCAAGGCTGGCCTGCAGTCGGCTACTTACTAAATGTAGCTCGAAAACAGGACAGTTCACCAGATGAGGCTGGATTTGTACCAATTAACTACTAATCAGAAATACATCCTGGTCACCCTCTCCACCCTATTCTACTGTCATTCTTCATGTTTAACCCAATAAACACGAAGAAAAAGTTGGGTTTTTATTTTAGCAGAATGGATTATTTGCCATCTGCTACTAACAAGCGGGACTCTGTGGGGCTGAGGTGGGACACTGCGCCATCAACTGTGAATGTGTCCCACTGACGCGTTCAAACGCGTCTCCTCCTCCTGGCCCCTTACATTGGTCCGTATTTGGATTCGTAGCGACCCACGACGTTCTTGTATCGGCCGCACTCCTTCCGCAACTCGGCCACCTCCTGCCGCAGCGCCGTGTTCTCGCGCTCCAAGAACGCCGCTCGGACCGTGATCTGGTTCTCCTTCAGTCTGCGGGCGTCTCGCGAGCGTTTGGCGGCCATGTTGTTCTTCTTCCTCCTCTGCCAGTACTTCTCGTCCTGGGAATAAGAGATGGCAAAGAGCAGATTAGACCAGAGTCCAGGGACGTTATCGGATCGCATCCGTTTGAATCTGATTCTGCCTTTTAGCAAGATGGCAGACAGCCAGTCTCCTTTGTGTTTACAAGCGAAGCTCTGTGTTCTGGGGCGAGCCTGGAGACTGAGACCGGAAATGTCGATTTCAGGAAACCGCTGAGTCACTCTGAGTTGTGAGAAGCACTGATGCTGCAGCCTATTCATTCAAAAGCACTTCAGCAATAACAACAACTTTCTCTTAATGAATCGTTTTAACACAGAGGCCAAAACCTAATTCAGTGAGCTGTTGAAATTTGTTGGATGAAATGATGTCCCTCCTTCACATCTCAGGAAATCAAAACCACACATCTTTTTTTTTCCTTTCACATCTTTTTCTAAGAGGCAGTTTAAGTACTAAAAACTATGTTTTTAGAGTAGTTTGTAATTATCCACCATAAAAGACATTAAGCTCAGAAATTTACACGAAAACCAATTTTTTAAATATGTTTCATCATAAAAGCTGTTCAAATCAGAGTTCAGTTTGTAGTTTTTATTATAAGGAAAGCATGACTACAGACAAGCTGTAATAACTGACAGCTATTTAATCCAATCCTCAGTGACACACCCAGTTGAATGGTTGAAAACATTGAAGATTCAAATTTTGACCAATATCAGTTTTTTTTGTCTGAAAAGTCGGAAAATATTCCAATAAAGTTGCTCGCTACAAATACTGAGTTTTGTTTTTACAAATATTCAAGAGAAATATGAATCCACTACAATCTGCTGCATTCCAGTCAAACCCACCAACACTTCTTGTCTTTTAAATATACAATACAGAAAACAATTTGTAAAAATCACAAGGACTTATATGCATATTGATCTCTTCCTCTCAGCCTCATCTTACCTTCTGTTCTTCAGGTACAAACACTTTCTTGGCCTTTTTTATCATGGGCTGCGGCTTGAGTTCCTCCTCACTGAACTTGTGTTTGCGCGGGTTGAACAGTTCACCTCCGGGAACGCTCGACAGGACCAGGTCTGTGGGGTCCGGCTCGTAGTTGACATCCACTTCGATTTCTTCTGGGTCGATGGGCTCCGGAGTCGCCCTTTCCTGCGAGGTGGTGACCTCTTAAGCAGACGAGCAAAATGAAAATACAGATATCAGACAGCTGCAGGGATAAAATAAAAATAACCTAAACTGACACAGATATATATTTTTTTATACTCATGTATGTATTTATTTTAATCCTTCCATGTTCCTGTTCCTATTGTGTGCTATACTGGTTTCCATGTATACAGTCTGTAGTGAACTCTACCCTCTCCACTATGCAGCCAAAACTATTTTCACTCCTGGTTTGTTTCAATGCAGTGTGACATGCTGTAACCAAGGTCACAGCATATCATGTTTCTAACCATCTATAACCACCAGACCACCTAAATATTAAAGCAGATTTTCATTTTAACATATCTGATGTGTACATAAACAAAATAGAAACCACAAAAAAAGCCAACTTATTACCAAGTTAAAATACAAAATGGGGGGAAACGCAAAATAAACTTGTAAATGGTGAAGGACTTGGCATAGACTGATGATGTGCATGAGATTTCTTTTCTATCATTTCTGAGTTCTACAATTATATTATTATGACAGCAATTCTTATTTAAATAAACAATATTAAAAATATGCATTCAGGGAAAAAAGTTGTTTAATATCAGGATATTAAATAGAAATGATTAGCTTCAGCAAGTAGAAAAGTACAAAAATACTTCAGCTGTATTTACATGGAAACATTGTGTTTTTACAGGTGAGACCACTTCTCTGTTTGATGATAAATACTGAGCTATGCTACTGATCAAAACTTGTCTGAAAATAATCGTGAATTTGCCCAATACATTGTATTTCTAGAATTTCTGAATCATAATTTGAACAACAAACATTTCCTCAATTTACAGAATAATGCGATATCTGCATAGGTTTCTCACTCACCTGTACTGACGTCACAGGTAATGTCCAAATCACTCTTTGTGATGATCACCACTTCCTCCTCGCACCTGTCCAGCTCCGTAATGGGCAGCAGGATCACGGGCTTGCTCTTTACTTTCTCAGTTCCGGCCTGGCTCACTTCTGGGACTCCCTTTAAAGTGGCGTTGTCGGGCGACGTCGGGATGCCGTTCTCCATGAGGAATTCCTCCAGGTCCATGTACTCCAGGTGGAAGCTCTCACCGTCATAGGGAATGGTTTTATCCCAGATAGCAGGGGTCAGCGCGGCCGAAGGCCCCATGTCGCTTCCCCCTCCGGCCAGGTCGGCGCTGCCTTCCAGACCCAACTTCTCCTTATCCGTGTCTGAAAGAGGCAGCAGCAGGTTACGGTTGCACTTCTTTATTAAAAAGGTGTCTTACAAAAAATAAAGAAAGAAAGAAAACAAAGGGAGTTTTTTTTCCAACATGAAAACAATTCCTGAGCGGAACAAAAATGTGTGAAAGACGGGGAAAGTGAGCAGCGAGCTTGTGGTTTTGACATGCAAGAGGAGGTGACGGAGTATGCAGAGGCACAGTCCACTTTAAATATACGTTTAGACCTGCAACAGGAGTTAACATGTCACTCCTTCAGTGAAACAAAAGGACTTCGCTTTTGCCTCCAAGGCAAAACGAGAAGTTTAATCACCTATAGGGTGTTCAGATAGAAAATAAATCAGGTTAACCATTTGACTGCCAACTAAAATTTGTAGTGCGAACGAAAAAAATTTGGTTTTAGTAAATGAAAAAAAAAAAAAAAAAGTTTTTTTCACTAAGTAGAGTGGGAGGAGCTAAGGGAAGAGCCCATGGCTGACACTTTGATGCCTGAGTCAATCAGTAGGGGAATGTTAGAACCAGACAGGTATGGCCACCTTTTCGGTATGAAGCCTTTAGAAACCACATTTCAAGTTAGGCCTGTCGCAATAAATCAATCCGTTGCATGATAAATTGGAACGAGCTCAATCATTTCTATTTGCCCGATTTATCATTTCCTTTCTTTGTCCCAAAAACTGAATAATAAAAGTCTTCAGCCTGGTGCTTTGGTCTCAATCAGCCATTTTTTTGAAGGACAATTTTGTTTACAGACACGTCATAATTTAGATATTTCTTGTTCCAGTGTCAAAAATTTGTTAAAAGTTTATCGCTCTTTGAGAATGTTTTCTTGCAATATTATGCCATTACCATTATATTAGTTGAAAATGGTCTCAAAATAACAATACTTTTATCTTCTGGGATAATCTATCGTTCAACAAAATTTGTTATTGGCCTATAATAAATAGCCAATAAAAAATGTGTTCACTTGAGGACATCGAAAGTGCTAGTGGCGCCCCCTGGGTCATGGCACCCTGGGTCGTGACCTACTCTAAAAATAGGTCACCATTTGTGACCTATTTGTGCAGTGAGTGGCAAATTACTTGAAAATAGGACAGAGAAAACCGTCCAAAGCTTCACTGGGACTTTGACATTTTAGCTTGCAGTACCATCCGGCATCCGGACCGCATCGTCACCCTGCCCACGCAAGCCCCTCCCGCCTGGACTCAAATACCCGCGACCAGCCAGTACAGGACGTCCTAGTTCTTCATCCACCGTCCATAAAACCAGTAGCAGTGGTTTATGCGCAGCTGTGTTTTTGTAGGAAACCTACAGTAACCCAATGTTGTTGCTACCCTACAATATTTTGCCTGAACAGTGAGTGCTTTCTGTCCAGGAGGCATTTATAACGAGACGAGAGCGACCAGATCTCGCGGGAAGCTACACTTGCACCAAACACAGAGGATACTAACCTAAAAGCCAGATTAAATGTTTAATGTCGACGCGGAATAAGACGTGAGCGTCAACGAAGCTACATTGAAAACACGGGGCGTGTCTAGAAACATCTAGACTGTGAGCTGTGTCAAAGGAGCAGAGGCCGCTGTGAACAGAGGCCATGTTTCTATAGACGATGCTAATGTAGTTATAGCTTTCTCAGTCGCTTGTATTGGAAACCCCGTTGTAGTAAACGGCGGTCTCGCGCTTCTCCCTCCGTTTTTAAAGGTCTGAGAAGTCAGTTTTTACAGGTCCACTCTATCTCTCTCTCTCTCTGCCAATGTTTTTCTCTTACCGTCGTCCCCGTCCAGTATGTTCGGTGGAGGCATTTCCATTATTTTCTTCAGAACCACCGGGAACGAGCTCGGAGGCTCTCCGGCTGTTTCCAGCTTTATGTGAATCGGCTCCACCGACATGTTTCCCTCTTCTCTTCTCTTGTTGTTGTGCACGGCGAAAGAAGCGGACTGCGCTGTTTGCCACTAAACCCTGAGTTGACCGTCTGCGATATTACTTATTCGTAAAGATATAAGGCAGTTTGTTGACACGAAAACGCTGAAAAGTTGCTCGAACGTCAAAGCATCGCAATAAGTTCGCTCCTTGAAACCCACTTCCTCTCAAAAAAAAACAACAAAAAAAATTTATTGAGGTTTTGGTGTACTGGAGGAAACCAAGCCTTCTTATTAACATGTCTGCTCTTTCGATTGGCGTGCTGGACCGCACCTCATCAATATTAATTGAGTTGCATGAGGAGGCGGAGCTGTGGGGTAGGAGCCGCGCTTCTATTGGTTAACAGAGTTATATATGTTTCACGGAGTTGTGCAAAAAAACAAAAAAGACCTGTCACGCGGACAAACGTATTAATTTTTAGTCAAAACACCGCACATTACACATATTGAACCAGCTGTTGCTACCTATTTCTGTCAAAAAAGCTATCAACGCACCAACTTATACGTTTTAGCGTAACTTCTGCTTAGGGGCGGCTTTGTATGACACGTCAGTCCCTCATTTCACGTCAAATTAACCAAATTCCCAAACTGGCAACAGAACTGTAAACTGGCTCATCGCGACGAGCCTCTGCCTTTGCGCTGCGGCGCCGCTCACGTGGGGACACACGTGAACCGCTTACATATCTACTGGCTCCTTCCAGCCCCGCGGCTCTGTATCTGTGTCTCACATGCAAAGGGTGCGCAAAAAGGGCGGCCGCGGTGGAGAACGTAGTAATTATGCATGCCTGTCTGACACCTTCAGGTGTCAATTTCTCCTGCAGCCCGGCTGAGCAGAGACACCAAGGGCAAAGAACCTGGACGTCTTGTCCAGAAGACATGGCAAGGCAGAATTAGCATGACCAGGTTAGTTATGGGTAAATAAAAAAGGGGGGGTTGTGATCATAATGTACATTCAAACACTTGTACCCCATGTGTCTTGCCAAGGAAACCACTGCAAGCTGGAGACGACCCAAGACAAGCAATCTGCATATCCTGTTACGTTTTTGTTCCCCCTTTTTGCCACCAAAACATTTCATATGAATCGTTTTTCGAACAATGATCTCGTTTATCAGGTGAGGGCCACTCTCTCCCCGATGTCAAATGCTTAATGGCAGTTGTTGCTGTCAGAGGTGAAACAACCAGTTTATTTTGGCATAGGGAGCATTTACTTTTTTCCACACCGCACCAAATTGTTCACTAGACTTTTCCCTTAAATGAAAATGATGGTTTGAAAAAAAAAAAAAAACATTTTGTGTCTTTGGACAAATTAAAAGTGTTTGATGGTCTAAAAACGCAGAAACAGGAGAAATCTGTAAAGCAGATACTTTTTCACAACAATGTAGTAGTTAGGAGGTATTTGGTATGCGTATGTACAGTATGTACGGTCTGTACATATTTGGCCAGCATTGCGAGTAACTACAACAAGCACGCAACCCTAGAGCTGTAAAAGACTTTTATGGCAGTAGAAGGGGCCCCAACGATTCTTTGTGTAAAAAGGAAACACGTGTGACTTCTTTTAGGTACTGCTTGTGCTGACAAACGGTTGAAGTCATGAGTTTGCTGAAGGTTAGGCGCTATATGTCATTTTTTAGCTGCTCTGAAAAAACAAAAAACAAGTGATTGAGACATGCTTCGTGTTCTGATGCTTATCTAAAAGCAATTCTTGATCACGAGACTTTGAGTTTTGAGGCGACTTCTTCATCGCAATTCAGAACACTACTTCTCACTTCCTGGTCATTTTTTGTCTTTCTCGCTAGAATTTCCAATTTAGTTTCACTATTGTGGTCAGCTTAAGGCCTCCTACGACACAACAGCAGCTTCAAAAGTGGAAACTGGCATTGATTTGTTACGGCTAATCTCCTGACAGAAAGGCATCATGGGATACAGTGAAAGAGAGAACAAGCTGGTGGCCAAGATGGGGCATAAAATTAAACCTAGAGAAGGTCTTTTGCCATTTTTATTTTTACATCTCCTACATTTTCTCTTGCTTATTTTTTTGTACTTGAATACCAAATGGAATCAAGGAACAGCTGCGAACAGAAAACACCCACTTCTATCTGAGAGAAGGTTCTTGTGTTTTGTCCTGTTCTAGAATGGCAGACAGTGGTCACCCTTGTTCAGGGAAGCTTACATTTAACCATGCCTGCTGCGACTGTGGTCATTATGGAAAATTTTTAGAGACACTATTAAACTGTTGACTATTGTTGGGTGTCCTGCCAGGGAGGAGAAGCTGCTTGAGCAACCGACGTGGAACGAGCTGACAGAGTCAGCGCGCACGGGATGCGGCGAACACATTTCTTTCTGGCTAGGAAAAACGTCCAACAGGAAACTGGAGGGGTTATTTACAGCTTTAAGGGACACAAAGTAGAGCTGGAAAAAAAAAAAAACAAGAAAACCTTGCGACTGTAACATTATCGAACACTGCTACGACAGCTCCAAGCCGTACTACTTGACCACAGCCGTACTCAGTTACAACATTGCCCACGGTAACTGTGTTTCCATCACGAATGTGTGCAAAGCTTTTTAGATATTTTAATGCTGAAAAAACTAATTTTCCTACTGCGGTGTATCCGACAAACAGGCGTGATTTTAATTTGTTTAAAAACAAAACTGAGTTTTCTCGTACAAGAAGATACTCTGCCATCTTTGGGTAAAATTTTTCATAATATACTAGATTTAAAAAATAATTTAAAAAAACAAATCCTGAAACTTATATTTCAAAACAGAGCCTCATAAAGTGTTTGGACCATTTCTCTTTCCCGTTCTAGTATGACCCTGCCATCTTTGTTTCTGTATCAACTGGCTCTGCTTAATGATGACCAGCGGTGCCCTCTTCTGGACGGCAGCCAAACTACAGCTGTAAAAGGTGTAAGCCCACATGGTCATTTCATTTTTAAATGCAACCATTTGAATCTAATAAACCACTAAACAACAATCAATTGAAAGCCCATTGATTGTTTGGATCCCTATTAGCAAGACTACCAACTTCAGTCAGCTAGTAAAAAAAATAAGTAAATAGTTGACTGCCATGAAAACCAAACCCTGACTGGTACAGCTTTGACCCACCACTACTTCAACGAAGCCAACCCTTCGTTGACCCCCAATGAAGAGTCGGTTTCACTGTTACTCTTCAGGCAAGATCCTGCAATTTGAAATCAACGTGGTTTACTAACACGCATAACATCATTGTGAGGTTTCAAGCGGAGACAAAGCAGAATGGTAATATAATTTAATCATTTAATTCCACTCCCTTTTCCAGACATTGACTCAACAGAAACGTATGGAGCCCGACACTTCAAAGGGACAGATATCACTGATCTCTGCTCACCCAAAGTAAACCTTCTACCAGTTTATCTCTCCTTTCTTTTTAGAAGGGGGCGTGGCCCTGTGCTTTCATGCAGATGTGAATGTACTTTGGAACATTAAGGAACTCTGATGAAAACATACATTTATCACAGCAAATCAATTTTGCCCACCAAACTGACAGCGTCAAGTGGAGGCAAAATAACTTCCTAATGACTAAATGAATCCCGTGCACTGAAACACACTCCTCTACTGAATTACGCAATCGCAAAGTAGTGACCATGTCCGATTCCCATGCAAAAGCCACTCGATCTCCGTCTTAAAAGGATGTGCCACACCTTGGATTGTGCATGTGAACCGATCCCCCCTCCTCTGTGCTGAAACTCCAAACCTTCGGACTCCTTTCTGGAGCCAGGAGTTCATTTTCCTGCAGCCCAGCTGACACCAGATTACACAACCAGCCCGCTGCGACTCAAACATGTCTGCAGTTTCTCACCGTCTCTCAAGATGTGATCCGAATTGCAGGCAGAAACAAGCCGGGCAACGATTCACCTGAGCCAAATGTGCAACTTGACTTACCATTGTCGTCAAAGTTCGGGAGAGTGAACGGGTGCTCAAGGAGAGACCTGAAAATCTCGGGGATTTCTGTAGTCATGTTTTGCTTTTTTGTTTTTCTCCTTTAACCTGGAATTAAGTAAAAATAATAATAATAATAAAAATAAATAAAACGTCTCAGGGCGACAACTTAAGCTTGTAGGGGATTAAAACGAAAGCGAGGAAGACAGCTCACGCACCGACCCGCAACCTGTTGGGCTTGTGACTTTAACGGGTCCCTCGCTGCGAACTCTGGACAAGTTACTTAACGAGGCCCCGCCTCCGTTCGCCGCCGTCAGCCAATCAGCAGCGCGCGTTACCTGGGAAATAAACGGAGCGAACGCCGACTGGCTCGCGGTGTTGTTCGGTGCGACTTTAACAGCCAATCACGAGACGCAGTTACATTACTTAAGAGTAAAAAAAAAAAAAAAAAGTGTGATAAAAATCTTCTTTTGACCAATAAATTAGGCCAGAACGAGACGTAATACTACTCAGATATCCGCAGAATTTCTCAGTGAGTTTTCAAACAATCTTAAATTGTACTAGTGAATTCAGCTCGGTATTATGGAAGTGTGGGCCAACATCACCTGAGCTGTAACTTCAAACAAATACGTGGATTTGGTGCAAATTGAGGCAAATAAAATGAGCAGGTTAACATTTTGTTGACTAAAGTATCCACTAGGATTCTACTGATTAAGACAGTCCCAAAAGTTTTGGTGCAAGCCATGTTTTTTTTATACCGAAAACACAAAATGACACCTGCATTTTGCAGAGCAGGTTCAGTGGACTTAAGCCTGCACGTGCAGAAAGGTTTGGTAGAATGTTCTACAGACACGTGCTCAACTAATTCCATGCCAACATAACAGGGGATTTAAGCTCAGAAGTTATGCTCGCATGTTTGGAAAAAATAGCGGAATTATGATACACAAAATTCAGAATTAATGCTAAAGTCCTAGTTATGGTAGCAAGTTTATGGCGTTAAGGCTTTTACATTTTATTAGCCCTTTTGGGCCACCGTAGGTTTTCCAAAATTGAATAATTAGCAAGGAGTGTACATGTAAGTAAAGTAGTCGCATAAATCCAGATGTTCTGTGAAATGCCTCAGAGGTTTGTCAGATAACGTTAGTGAACAAACATCCTGAATTTGAGAACACAAAGATGAGTCAGGACACAAATGTGGGACAGTGGTTTTGGGCTAGAAAACAACGTCCAGGAAGCTACTGTAACTTAAACATGGCACAACGAGATGGACAAGAGAGCAGCCAAGAGCTGCCCCCGGTATCTCTGGATG